TGGGTGTGTGGTCACTCTTAGCTTCATTTCTCCCCATAGACCTTACTGGCATGGGTGTCCCTACCAGGAGCTTGTGCTTCAGCCTGCATTGCTCTATGGTTCAGTAAAATTACTGGGCTCTCCCACCATGACCAGGTGGTGGTGACCACAGGAGAGTTATTATTATTATTGTATATACATTTATTTTTTTTCTTTTATTTATTTATTTACTTATTTTTATTTTGCTTTTTTTTTTGCATTCAAATTTATAAATTTAAAACAATTTTGTTTCATTTATTCTGCTGCATGAGAATGACTAAGTCAAGATTGAAAATTTTTCTGATTAAATATTTTTTTTGGTAACCAGAACTTTACAGTTTGTTATATTATTACTACTATTAAATCTGTTTGTATTTTTTGAATATATTATTAGTTAAAACAATTATTTATATTTCAAACAATTGATCAGTTCTCATTCTAATTTTACTAATAAACTATTCTCACTGGTATAAAAACCATATATATAAACATTACTACTACTGTTGACTTATTCTGAAACCATGTAGTCTTTAATTTATTATTTTATACTTCACAGCTGGGTGCATAGATAAACACTGAGCATCTTTAACATCACTCTTTATTCAGAAATATCTTATACACTTATATTGGCATGTAAGATATTTTTGAATAATAGTGATGTTAAAGATGCCCAGTGTCTACCTATGCACCCAGTTGTGAAGTATATCATAATTACTACTACTGTTTATTTCTTTATGGATGATTTATAATTTCAGAGGCTATATCCATAAATTCTATTAGTAATGTTTGATTTTAATTAAAGATAATTGATTTATTTATTAATAATTTAAGATATAAGTACTAATATTTGTATAAATAAAACTCACTAACCTTATGTGGGTCTTGCATTTAATTGTTAAATCTGTTATGACTGTTTTCAGTCCACACCTAGGACCTTCTTCTTAAGGTAGATTTATTTAAAAAATCAACTCCCTCCAGTGCTGGCATTCTAGCTTGGAATGCATAGAAGATTCTGATATATTGTAATTTCAACGTTTTATTTTTAAAATTTTTTTCTTTCATTGAATATCCAATAGGATGCATCTATTTAATGAAAGAAAAAATTTTAAATGCAAGGTCCACAAATTTTTACAATTAAAGGCAAGGTTCATATAAAGCTAGTGAGTTTTATTTACATTGATGATTTGCTATTAGAAAATTACTCTAATATTTGTTTTATGATATATTTCTATCAGTCTAGTTGTAAGTGATTAAATGGAAGTATAATTTAATGCAAAATATTATACATTTGAATATAATATAAATATTAATATGTTAGAATTTTGTTTGATAAAAGAATAATTCATAATTACATTTTTCAAAAAATGAAAAGAATATAATTTTATTTCAGATGTATCTTCAGAAGTCTTCTAATGAAAGAAAACCTTGCTATTATTTCTCCATTGAGTTAGGAAGTAAAGGCAAGAAAAACATTCTTTATTTTTAAAGTTTTATTTTAAATAAACTTAATTGTATTATAGAAAAAACTTGTAAATTTATTATAATTTTATTTTGTTTATTATAATTTATTATAATTTTATTGAAAAATACATTTAAGCCTCTAAAGCAATCTCTAAACAGTAGCTGTTTTTTTTCAAGAATGTAAAGAAAAATGCTGATAGAATAAACTCCAAATAATTGCTATTTTTTGTTCCTGTCAGTAACTGTCATTCAGGTCTTTGACTTATTTATTGAAATTTAATGACTTAATAAATTTTGAAGCTGATAAATCAAATAAAATAATTGTAATATATAAGCAAGAATATAATAAAATAATTAATGAGATACAGTAGAGCATCGATTATCCGACCTCCGATTAACCGTCACATCGGTTAACCGACCATTCTAGTCGGCAAATTTCAAATGGCCGCTAGAGATATGGCATTACAATATTTGGCTATGTCTTGGCTACTTTAATATTATTTTTGTTAAATTTTTGCGTGTTTTAGCTGGTATCAACGGCTTGACCATTGAAGCGAGACCTATATTTAAACGAGACTTAATTTTCTAATTATGAGTGGTTGTTTCATGAGCAATAAAATAATTTTTAACGATACAATAGCAACGATTATTATTTTTTAAAAAAATTTGTTAGGCTAAACATCGATGAAAATTCAACACAAAGTTGGTTAATAGCGATATACTAATAAACTAATTACATGGGATATATTAATATCCTAATATACTATACTAATAATGTATTTTTTTCCTTCTTTTCGGTTATCGGATTTTTTCAGTTATCTGACCAACCTGAGTCCCCAATTGTGTTGGATAATCAATGCTCTACTGTATTAACTCAACATACATATGACCAATTAATGAATAACCCATTGCAACATTTGATAAAAAACAAAAATAATAATAGGGAGATTGATTAAAAAAAAAAGTATTATAGAAAAGGGTGGGGCAAAATTTATTTTGTCTGTCTGGTCCAAATAGGTTACCAAAGATTAACATAAAAGTTAAAACACAAACACTCACTCAATAGAGACTGTTAATTGATATAAGGAATTACATTTTTTATAATTTATAAAAATTTGGAAACAACTTCAATTTTTGTTTTACAATCTCCCAATTTAGCATAAAAAATGTTGATGAAGTCATAAAAAAAATTAAATAATAATAAAATGCATACTCAGATCAATTAATGTCATTAGACGTTAAAAATATATATTTGTCGATCACCCACCAATGGATAATGACAACTCTACCATACTACAAATATATTTCATGGGCAGTATTAGAAAATGATACACACAAAATATACTAAAACAGACCATAATCACAGATAAAACAATTTATCACAATAGACCTGACATTACTCTCATTGACAAATTCATAATAGACAACTCTGTTCCAAACACTCATAACATAAAAAATACATTGAAAAAAATCAACAAGTACACTCCACTCACTCAAGAAGTAAGACAGATGTGGAGACTGGATAAGGTATGTATTGTACCTGTTGTCTTCTCTTCAACTGGTGTTATACCACACACTACACAAAAGGCTAGAAACATTAAACCTTAATAAAAACATATATGGCACTACAGAAAGTTGCAATATTGAACACGTCACATTGTTGGAAAGTTTCTAGATGTTGATGCATATACCAATAACACAGAAACTTAATTTAACACTTGTTTGGGTATCTATGCTTTGACTTTCAATAAGTCTGACATAGCACTTGGCACCACTATCAGCTGAGCATGACATTTGCAACANACAGCCACCGGTGTGAACCGAGTAAAACTCACTAAACTCAACATAATAATAATAATAATAAACAAATAAAATTTATAAAATTAAAATATGAAAAAAATCTTTTTGAAAAAATAAAACAAATATTTAAAAATTATAATATAGCAACACCTTAACAAATAAATAATAATAAAACACATATAAATCATAATGATCAAAAAATAGAACAAAACATCTAGGATACTAAAAATGTGGTTTACAGATTCAAAGTAGTTGTATGAAAAATAATATATACATAGGGGAAACGGGCAGGAAACTAGATTTAGAGAGCATATTGCAGCAATTAAAAACAATAGTCACACATCTGCTGTTGCCTGCCACTGTAATAACCAAGAATGTAAAATTTTAAGAAAATACAGTAAAAGTAATTAAAAAGGAGCTTAATAACTTTAATAGAAAAATTTATGAACATTTAAAAATAATGAAATTAAAATCAATAATAGTGTAGGCATGCAACTGCACATGTCTTGGTATCAATTTTTAGCTGGCAGGGAGACCTACTATTGAGTTTAAGTACTATGTAAGAGTGAGATATAAGTTCCACACTGTGCTTTATTCATAATTTTAAGTATGCATTTCTGGTTTCATGGTTTGTGTTTTACTGATTTTAATAATAATAATTTTATGAAGTTTTGTATTATAAATATGTAATTAACGATTTGGAATGTACATCGAAAGTAAGTAATATCTTAATGTACGTGCTTTAATGGCATAATTGTAATTGTTAAAAAATCAGCTGATATTTATTTGTACCTTAGTTTTGTACAGTTTTAATGTTAACAACTGTAAAAAAACTGAAGGGAAATAATAAAGTCCAAAATGAGTTTTGTTAAAAAGAATAAAAGAAGAGTATTATAATATATCAAAGTCAAGATAAGTTTGGCAAAACAACACTAACAGGTTGCTAAAATAACAGTCTAGTATTAAAATTTACTTGATTCTTGATTTCATAAATACATAGTATGTAAATATAATCATTCTTACATAAAAAACAATAGCATTTTTATATTGAAAAAATTTTTCTATTAAAGATAGAACAAAAATTTCAAATTTTGTATTTTTCAGAATTTATACATCACTTAGAACTGTTACATGAATAAAACAAAAATGTATTTGTAATTTTTTGTTTTTGTAACTTAACAAATCAAAAATTTAAAACTTTCAGTAATTGAATGGCTGAATATAAACAGTTTTATTAAATCTATAATGTTACATAAATTTTAAAACTTAGTGATGAGAAGGCATCAAATATTTATACAATGAATTATTAATATTTATACATGGAAATTGAATAGAATGGAAAATTATTATTGCTATTTTCTTGCCTATTGATAATGTTTTGCATAATTAAATAGGCTTTGGTTTTTATGGATGATTTGAACATTAAAATCTTTTTAAAATTACACATTGCTTTTGTGAATCTTCTATAATTAATTATGCTATCTAGATGATTACTTTCTTACTTGCTTCACTTATACAAGAAGCAAGTAAGAAAGTAAAAGTACATGCTTAAATGTTTTTATTGAGCAATTTACTCGAGAGACTTAAACAGTTTATTTCAAAGAAAATAAGGATATGCTTAAATAACCATAGTTTATATGTTACAGAAAAATCAAATGAAATTGAGGACTATGTACCAAGAATTATATTCAAAGTAATAAGCAATAAAAACAACTGTCTATTGGAATTTAATAACTGAAAAACTCGCTAGTACTGTACTTTCAATGCTGCATTAATGTCATCTTTAGTTCAAAGACTTTGCCTGAAGATGACAATAATGCAGTGACAAATATTTTGGACCTTTTTTTTTATTGACCTACTTTGTTTTATATTGCTTAATCAACAGTAATGATATAGATGTAATTTTGTATATTTCATTTATTAATTAAATATATAGACTCAATATATGATATTAGTCCTCTCATTTAATGTGATTTAAATAGTTTTTCTTATCATATTTTAACAGTTTGCTTATTTGTCTCTAAAAATTTTTTTTTGTTTTGTTGTTAGTGAAATTCTCATATTTTCCTCTGAGTATTTTTATTACTCAGTAGGAAATTTATTCACTGCTTTTACAATATAAAAATTATGTAATCAAGTCTTCCAACGAAAACTGATTAATTGATAAAAAAACAATATACTCAAATAAGTCATAAAACTTGGTTGTCCAATATTTTATAATTTAACATAAAATATTCTGTTTTGTACAGATTAATAATAGCAAAAGTAACTGTTGTGGAAGTTTATTTCATCAAATTGTGTGTCCTTTACAAGATTTAGCCTAAAGGCCACTATTACTCATTTGCTAAGATTAATAATGATTAAGATTAAAGACATGGTCTAACCTCCTAAATTAGGCTAAGCTACTTAATTGGATTGTTAATTATTAGTCAATAAAAAAGATTTTTCTGATAATTACAATTTAAATGTACTTTATAAATACTGTTAAAGTCAAAGAACAAAAACAAAAGTATGTGAAATGTTTTATTTTTCATTACGGCAGAATTGTTATAACTAATATAACTATTGTAATATTGATTAAATATCTAACAAGTAGCTTATCTCTTGGCTGGCCAAATTTCTAACAGAAGAGTGAAGTTGTAAATGATTTTAAAGGATTTATAACTGGGGCATGATCTTCTTGTTTCAATAACTTCATTTGAACAGTTATTTTGTTCATTATTTATTATTATTACTAGCTGCAAGGACCCGCTTTGCTGGGTTTTTTATTTGTATGTAATATAGTTTTTTTTATATATAAAAGACTGTTTTTCTAAGTAATCTAGAATCTAGCTGCAAGGACCTGCAAAAACGCAAAAAACTGCCTGTAAATCTGCTTTATATTAACACTTCCTTTGTTACTTAACATTTTCATTCTTAACACTTCCATTGTTAACACTTCCATTGTTACACATCTTCGAAGTCAACCACTTTCAACCCCATATCTCCCGCACCCTTATAGCTATCGAGACGCAACCACCATAGTGCACGAATTGAGACTTGGGGCTACTACCACATACGAACACCATTTATGTGCGATGTGTAGTTTTGGCTAAAAAGTGAAATATAGGGACACACACGTCCATTTTTATATATATAGATATAGATTAGGCATCTCTTATTTATTTTATCTATAAAAATTTCGTAATTAATTTTAAAT